AACGTTGGAATTTCACAGGGTCTGAACTGCGGGTTTATCGTGATGTTTGGGAACACTCAAGCATGATATGTCGCCAATAGAGAACAGACGGAATGAGGCAAAGCATCCAAAGACAATTCGTGCACATTCCGAGTTGGCCACATATTAATATTATGTCTATTGGAATGCTGAATATCTTAATCGAGTCATCGGTGCGGTGGGAATTCCCGACTCGGGGAAGGAATAATGGCGCACAGGCAACTGACATCTCGACATGCATTCACTCATAGTAACTTGCATACCCTGTGATTTGCCACTTCGAGCTATGTCACATGTATCCGAGAATCTCGGACCAAGATGAGAAACTCAACACGGGAAGATATCGTTTCACTTCTACTCACTTCAATGGTCCACGAGCAGCGAAGAACTACGACACACATAATGAATGAACTCCGAATCAGTCAAGTGGCCCGATTCGGGTCATCAATGAAATGTAAAGACACAAATGAATGATATGAATGAAGGATATGTCGGACAATAGTGGACATGAAAGCGATCTCGAAAGGCAGCCGTTTTACGAGTTCGCCTAGAAGAAACCTTAGGGGGGAGCCTGGGTAGTGGTCGGAACTTGAGTGGTCGGAGGCACAGTGGTGACAGCCTGTGTGGCCACAGCGACAGTTGTAGCCGCCCGAGTGGTCGGAACGACGCTGGTAGCCGCCTGAGTGGTCAGGACGGCGGTCGTAGCCGCCTGAGTGGTCAGGACGGTGGTCGTAGCCGCCTGAGTGGTTTGAGCGACAGTAGTAGCCGCCTGTGTGGTCGCAGCGACAGTAGTGACAGCCTGAGTCGTCGGAAAGACAGTAGTAGCCCCCTGAGTGGTTGAGACGACAGTAGTAGCTCCCTGAGTGGTTGGAACGACAGTAGTAGCCCCCTGAGTGGTTGGAACGACAGTAGTAGCCGCCTGTGTGGTCGCAGCGACAGTAGTGACAGCCTGAGTCGTCGGAGAGACAGTAGTAGCCCCCTGAGTGGTTGGGACGACAGTAGTAGCCGCCTGTGTGGTTGGAACGGTAGTCGTGGCCGCCTGTGTGGTCGTAGCGACAGTAGTGACAGCCTGAGTCGTTGGAGAGACAGTAGTAGCCCCCTGAGTGGTTGGGACGACAGTAGTAGCTCCCTGAGTGGTTGGAACGACAGTAGTAGCCGCCTGTGTGGTTGGAACGACAGTAGTAGCCGCCTGTGTGGTTTGAACGACAGTAGTGACAGCCTGAGTCGTCGGAGAGATAGTAGTAGCTCCCTGAGTGGTTGGAACGACAGTAGTAGCCGCCTGTGTGGTTGGAACGACAGTAGTAGCCGCCTGTGTGGTTTGAACGACAGTAGTGACAGCCTGAGTCGTCGGAGAGACAGTAGCAGCCCCCTGAGTGGTTGGGCCGACAGTAGTAGCCGCTTGTGTGGTTGGGACGGTAGTCGTGGCCGCCTGTGTGGTCGCAGCGACAGTAGTGACAGCCTGAGTCGTCGGAGAGACAGTAGTAGCCCCCTGAGTGGTTGGGACGACAGTAGTAGCTCCCTGAGTGGTTGGAACGACAGTAGTAGCCGCCTGTGTGGTTGGAGCGACAGTAGTAGCCGCCTGTGTGGTCGCAGCAACAGTAGTGACAGCCTGAGTCGTCGGAGAGAGAGTAGTAGCCCCCTGAGAGGTTGAAACGACAGTAGTAGCCGCCTGTGTGGTTAGAACGACAGTAGTAGCCGCCTGTGTGGTTGGAACGGTAGTCGTGGCCGCCTGTGTGGTCGCAGCGACAGTAGTGACAGCCTGAGTCGTCGGAGAGACAGTAGTAGCCCCCTGAGTGGTTGGAACGACAGTAGTAGCCGTCTGAGTGGTCGAGGCTGACGGCATGGTCGTTTGTGTGGTAGGGCAGCAGTACTGGTGATCTGGATA